CCAGTTGGGGGAGCGGGTTTAAAGTGGTAACATTTTAAAGCTTCAATTAACTAAACCAGTGGCTCTCAAAACGTTTGTCCCGGTGACCCCTTTCACACAGCAAGCCTCTGAGTGCGACCCCCCCTTATACATTAAAACCACTTTTGTATCTATTTAACCCCATTATAAATGCTGGAGGCAAAGTGGGGTTTGGGGTGAATGTTGCCGGCTTGCGACCCCCCCATGTAATTACCTCGCGACCCCCTGAGGGGTCCCGACCCCCCGTTTGAGAACCCCTGAACTAAACTTTCCAATAATTCGATCGTCACTATTCCCATAATATTCCCAAGCTCGCCAAGGGCCACCACTAAACCAGTCCGTGAACATCATATTCACAGCTCAGGCCATCTGAGAACCATTAGAAACTAGGTTTCAGAGTAGCATCCGAAGAAGTGGGCTGTAGCCCACGAAAGCTTATGCTCAAATAAATTTGTTAGTCTCTAAGGTGCCACAAGTCCTCCTGTTCTTTTTATTAGAAACTAGCACATTTCAGTAGTTAAAGAGCAATGATGAAAAATATTCCCCAAATACTCCAATAGCTGATATTGTTAACGACAACGCTAGCGAGTCACTGGCCACCCAGAGGACAGCGTTTGAGGCCTGGCCTGGTGTTAACTGAACTATTATCCTCCGGACAGTGGCATTCACCTGTGACACCTAGAAATGGTCTAGCTGTGAGCGCCAGGCCGTCAGATTCCTGATCTCACTGTCCTGCCCGGCCTGTCATCTCCCTGAGACCCTGGGTGATTTTCATAGTCGGCTCTTGGAGCTCATTTCAAACCCGCCAAACTGCTCCGAGACTCCTTGTTTTAACCACGGTTCTTCCGATCTTGGGTCTTTTGGTCTTTCAAGCTTCAGCTCCCAGAGTCATGTGATGGGGAGATGCTCCCCGGAGCTTCCCACCCTGCTAGCTACAGAAAAGTGTCCGGCTCGGGCAGTTGCGACTGATGGCCAATAAAACCAGCCCCCAGGTGACCACGAATGTTTGTAGGCGCCTGTCTCATGACTTCGTGACTGCTGGGGTGGGCTGGGGGGGTTACTGACCTCACTTACACCCACCCCTGCGGTTGTGCAGCAGACTGGGGTGCTGAGGTGCTCCCGTAATACACCTAATACCGTTCAGCTCCCAGCACAATGGGGTTCTGATCCCGGCCATGCGTAATAACGCCTAATCCACTGGCAGGATTGGGACTTTCCAGTCTGGAAAGGAGCTCAGCCCAGGGCCGCTCCCCCCACCCCAAGGTCCCCACTGTCTGCTCAGCCCCTCACACTCCCACGCCCCATTCCCACCACTGCGGGGGGGGGGGGAAGCTTTGCACTCACCTTGCCTGGATCTGCCGGGTCTCTCTGCAACCAGACACTGGTGGAGGAGAAGTTGAACTGAAGGCAGCCAAGCAGCAAATCTAACCCCCCCTCTCCTCCTGGGGGGGCCAAGGAGCCGGAGCCCAGGAAGGAACTGGCTGCCAAGCAGGTGATGACCTCCAGGAGCAGCCAGGGGGACACCAAGGAGCTATTGCAGCTGTTTAAAGAGACCCCCCTCCCCTGGGCTGCTGTTTAAATACCTTCGTGCCCACCCCTCTGACCTTTGTCCTCCCAGAACCTTGGATTGCATGGGGGGGGCGGGGGCGTAGCTTCCTTTCCCATCACTGGGAGGGGGTGGCTGGGTTGTATTGGCACCAGTTCCCCAGGGAACACAGAGGGTCCGAACCAGGGTGCTGAGAAATGATCAAGGTGGGGGCTAGTGGGGCGAGTAAGGAGGGGGCTGGGAGCCAGGACTCCTGGGTTCTATCCCTGGCTCTGGGGGCTAGTGGGGCGAGTAAGGAGGGGGCTGGGAGTCAGGACTCCTGGGTTCTATCCCTGGCTCTGGGGGCTAGTGGGGCGAGTAAGGAGGGGGCTGGGAGCCAGGACGCCTGGGTTCTATCCCTGGCTCTGGGGGCTAGTGGGGCGAGTGAGGAGGGGGCTGGGAGCCAGGTCCTGCTCTGAGAAGGGAGTGGGGTCGGAGTTAGAGTAGGGGGCTGGACTCCTTGTTCCTATTCCCATCTCCAGCCCCTCACCCCGCCCCCACCCGCTCTAACCACTAGATCCAACTCCTCTCCTCCCAGAGCTGGGACGAGAACCCAGGTGTCCTGCCTCCCCCCAGTAGCTGAGCATGGAGTGTGTGTGTCTCCCCCCCACCCCACCCCGCAGGGGACCTGAGGCAAGCGGCTCCCTTCTCTATTGGCTTCTTCCCTGGCTCTGTTTGTCGAGTCAACACCCCCAAGGTTTGATTCCTGCGGGGGGAGGCCGGCAGGGCAAACACCTCAGACAATGCACTTGCTCCAGCCCGGAGTCTCCAAAGCCCCCAGCACATTCCCCAGAGTTACGCAACCCCCCTTCCCAGAAATGCAGGGCAGCGGGGACTCCTGGGTTCTCTCCCCGGCTCTGGGAGGGGAGTGGGGTCTAGTGGTTGGAGCAGGGGGGACTGGGAGCCCGGACTCCTGGGTTCTCTCCCCGGCTCTGGGAGGGGAGTGGGGTCTAGTGGTTGGAGCAGGGGGGGCTGGGAGCCAGGACGCCTGGGAGGGGGTGCCAGGCCTTCCCCTTTGCCCCTGGCCAGGTGTGACCCAAGCGAGCAGGGCCCCAGGGCAGTGCTAAGCGGGGTGATCATGAACAGGCAGCTGCGGGGCCCGTGGGCCGGGGCTGGGCGGTGGAGCAAGCCCAGCACATACCTGGCTAAGCACCGTCTGCCGCCCCCCAATCAGCCCTGCCCGCTGGGAACGATGCGGGCTGGGGACTCCCTGCTGATGGCCTAGGGCGAGGTGAGCTCAGCCCTGCCCCAGAGCAACACACATCAACTCCTCCCCCCGCTGGGGCTGGCAGGGGTCCCTGGGGCTCCCCAGGGCAGCACCTGTCCGGAGGCTGATGCAAGCCCCCTCCCCCATCGTCTCCTCTTCCAGCGCCTCTCTGGCACGTGGACCTGCCTGCAGTCCCCCCCCCCGCTGTTTGTCTGCAAAGCCAGGGGCTGGGAAGGGAGGAGGTGGCAGCTTGTGCCGTGCTGGGCTGTGGGGTGGGCAGCGGAGGGGGGGGTGTAGGTGTGACTCCCACTACATGGGAGCGGGACTGGTACTGCTCTAGCAGCCCGAGCACCCCTGCAAGTGATGGCTGTAGAACCCAGGAGTCCTGCGGCCCCCCCCCCCCAACCACTTGACCCCACTCTCCTCCCAGAGCCTGGGATCGAACCCAGGAGTCCTGCTCCCAGCTCCCCCCCCCAACCACTAGACCCCACTCTCCTCCTGGAGCAGCCCCTAATGGGCAGAGTCAACACCCCAGCTCTGAACCCCCCCCCCTTTCATGCACTAACAGGAAACAGCCATGGAGCAGGGCACTGGCCCTTTAAGATCAGCGCCGGTGCCCACCGCCATACTGGGCTGCTTGGAGACACATGGCTGAGCGGGTCAGCGCTAATGAGCCCCCCCCCAGCCCCTCGCTGGGGCAGACGCAAGTCCCAGACACGGGCGCGGAGCGACTTACATAACCCCCCTCCTGGGCGCACACGGGGCCCCTCGTGTTTCATAAGCACATCGCTCACGCCTCACAGCCCTGCTGCAGCCGGGCACAGGGCGGGCAGAGATGGCAGCACAGCCAGAGTCTGGGTGGCTCGGCCACGGCCACCGAGCCCAGCCGCGGCCCCACCTCAGAAGAGAACCCAGGAGTCCTGGCTCCCAGCCCCCTGCTCTAACCACTAGACCCCACTCAGCTGGTGATAGAAGCCAGGAGTCCTGCCTCCTACTGTTGGCTTTATCCACAAGACCCACCCTCTCGTCAGGGACCCTGGTTTGAAGCCCCTTGAGATAAGGCTGGTGCAATCTCCCCTCCAGCTTCCCGGCAGGGCCTCATGCGGCTGGGGAGGAATCAGAGAGCCAGGCGCTTGGTCCCCTTCTCCCAGTGCCCAGGTATGGCAGGAGAGCAGAGCTGGGACATGGGGGAGGCCCCTAGCCCCCTGCCAAGCACAGTTTAATACCAGCCTCCAGCACCCCCAGGTCCAATGCCACCAAGCAGAGGGGGGGCTGGATTCAAGCCAGGGGTCACCCCAGTCTGACAGCCCCCCTCGGCAGGGGTTTTGCTCCCTTCGTGGTCAGGGAAGGAACCAGGTCACCAAATCCATGGAGGGGGGAGGGATTTTCTGGGGGCTCCAGGCAGCCCCCAGCCACGAAGACTGATGTGGGCTCATGCTGCAGTGCAGGGGGTGGCAGGGAACCCCAGAGCCCTGAGGGGCCCAGCGGCACCGTGGCTTGCTCCCCGTTCCCAGCCCTTGCAGGGGGATCCTGTCGGAGGGTCTGGCCTCCCGCCTGGCACTTGAAATCATTGTCCACCTCGCTGTACGAACATCCTTACAGCTCTCGAGTGGGTAGAGAGGCTCCCCCACTGAGGACTGGAGCTTGGGGGGCCACACATTTGAGGGGACCAACCTGCCTTCACCAGGCTTGAATGGGAAACTGCATCCCCCTCCACGGTGGGCGAAGGATTCAAGTCCCAGGGCCTGAGCCCAGAAGCTGGTAGCTCCGAGTACGACTGTCCAGGACACTGCAGGGGTCATAAAGTTGGTGCGAATAGCCCCCTATGAACCCCCCATCCCCAGCCAGCATGGTGGAAGAGTATGGCTGGCTCTGTGCCACAGGAGGTGCAGAGCGAGAGCTAAAGCAGCCCAGAGGCTGCTCTAAGTGATGCTGGGGCCCAGAATACAGGGAACACCAAGGAGGCCCTGCCCCCTCAGCCCACATGCAAGGATGGAGTGACTGAGAATCCGGCCCTGCTCCCCCAGCAGTCCCATGGGTTGGTTTTCTCCCCGCCAGCCCCCTTGTCAATAGAGCAAGCGCACCCACATAGGGATGACTGTCCTTCCCCAGCCCCCCTGCACTACATCGGGGAGCGACAGAACCCAGGAGTACTGACTCCCCGTGCTCCTGCTCTAACCCCGCGCTAGACCCCATGCCTCTCCACGCTGGGACCAGAAGCAGGGAGCCCTCGCCCCATCCCCTGCTCTAACCCCTACACGGTACCACCTCTGAATCACGGCTTGAGTGCCCCACACAGCACAGCGACTACCCTGCAGGACGCCACGTGGGCTCTGCCATGGAGAGGCTCCCCGCTGCCCCCCGCCTCTGCTTTGAGCTGGGCCAAGGGGCACCCCACTCCCATCTGCAGCCCATCGCCCACCCACAGGAAGTCCCAGCCCCTCCACCCAAGAACACCCCACAGCCGGACTTTCCTCTTTTTTTTTATTATTATTTACACGTTTTTCCTTAAGCTTTGGGGCCTCGGCTTTGTACAACACCTGGCCGAGCCCCCTCTGCCTCCCAGCGTCCGGAGAACCCCCTCCACCGAGGGGGGGGGAGCAGCAGAGCACGCTGGGAGAAAGAGGGGAGGGGAGAGATGAGGGACCCATCAAGTGACCTGTAGTGGTGCAGCCCCCTACGGAAGGGAAGGGGGAGAAGGACGTGGTGATTGCTGGTTTTTAATGCAGCCTTGAGACTACCTGGGGGGGAGGCTGTGTTAAGTTGGGGGGGAGGAAATCCAGTATTCTGCCTGCGGCAGAGAGATCCTGCCCCTCCTTGGAAGGGGAAATAAATACGACCCCCACCCCTGCTGACTGCAAGCCTCCCTATCATGTGACAGACAGGGCAGGAAGGATTGTGAGCTGCGGGGTGGGGGGAAGGGGAGGCGGGGCCTGGGTGTGTAACTGACAAAGTGGAATGATCCAGACCGGAGCAGCGGCCGCGCGTCCCTATTTGGCGCTGGGCGGCTTGTAGGGCTCCAGGAGGAGGCTGGAGAAGGTGTTGACTTTGTCGGCTCCTCGCACCTCGTGGGGCAGCAGCGGCAGCTTGACGATGTGGAAGTCTTCGTACAGGTCCTCCATCTGTGAGGGAGGGGTGGGGAGAGGTGAGAGAGAACCAGCCTCCCGGGGAGCACCGCCTCCTCCTCCACCCCAGAGGGGGCGCAGGCTCCGGGGGCCCATTCGGCCCTTGGTCTCTCTGCTCGAGGGGCTCCGTGAAGTGCGAGTGGGGGGTTCCGGCCCACTGGAACACGTCTGTACCCACTGATCTCAGCTCCCCATGCCAGAGGAGCCTAGTCCACCCCGGGGGTGGGGGTAAAGGCGGCCAGGAGGAGCCCAGCTCAGGGGCAGGGGAAGGGGGAACTCAGAGGGGTGGGTCCAGGGGGCAGCTGCCCAGCCCCCTCCCTACCTGGTCGAGATATTTGGACTGGATCTTGTGCCGGGCCTCGCACATCTTGCAGGGCTTCTCGGGGTCCGGGAACACCAGCTGGTTGACGATGATGTTGTGGGTGTCGATCTTGCACTTGGCCAGTTCCTGGATGAGACGCTCCGTCTCGTAGAGCGACAGGAACTCAGCGATGCAGACGCAGATGAAGGTGGTCTGCTCCTGCCGGGCGGGGGGGTGACACCGTTACTCTGCTCTCAGGGCCCTTCCAGGACCCCCAGCCCAGCACGCGGGTGTGTGTGTGTGCGCCCCCCCATTTGACAGAGGGGGGAAAATGAGAAACCAAAAATGGAAGAGATCTGCCTAGGATCACACAGCACATCAACGGCAGAGCTGGGGAGAGAACCCAGGAGTCCTGGCTCCCAGCTCTAACCACTGAACCCCACTCCCCTCCCAGAGCTGGGAACAGAACCCAGGAGTCCTGGCTCCCAGCTCTAACCTACTGGCCCTACTCCCCTCCCAGAGCTGGGGACAGAACCCAGGAGTCCCCACTGCTCTACCCACTAGACCATGCTCCCTTCCCAAGGGAGGCAAAGGACAATGCTAATGAGGCTCTCACCTCTGTATGCAACCTTC